TGTGGACGTGAGGGTGTGGGTGTCGGTGTGAGTGTAGTTTGAGAATGAAATGGTTCTATACGTACACCCGCGTCTACACCCAGATCCACAAGATGATTGTGTATAAAACACAATATAGTAAGGATATCAATGCATGACTTCGGATTTATGCTTGAAATCTATTTAATTTCAAGAATATTTCCATCAGCGTTTGAATGAATTTTATTATTGAACTGTTCTTTTTATGGTAATTGTCAAAAGATGAAAACAAGCTTGATACAAATAACTGTATCAGATAGTATTAATAGAAGACAAGCTTCAACTGCAAACGTATGGCACACAAATTCGTAATCAGAACCGAGAATATATAGCAGATGGATAAATATTCTTTTCTTGTAGCATGAAGTTTTTATATGTCGATATGGTTTATTTCAGAACTGTTATATTGATTAACGAGTAAAGCGATTAAATATTAAAGCAAAAAAAGACACATACAATATCAAAAGCGAAAGCGAGTATATTAGTCAAATGTCGACTTTGGTTTGTTCATATCATACAAGCCAGATGGAATATTGTCGTTATAAGAACGATATATATCATTGTATTGATACTTTGAACATTTGACCCATTATTTGTTGGTGTCGTCGTATGGCTAATAGGTGCATTAGTAACTTTGGTACGAGAGTTTGTTACTAAAGTTGATAGTGGTGATTGGTGATCCTCATCATATTGAGTAACTGATGATACCGAGGACATAATCGACTTTGCTGTGGTCTCTTCTTTGTTTTCTCCTGATTTTGTTTTATATCCGAGCATTTCAAGCGCCGATGATAAATCGTATTCTTTATGAAATATTGTTCCAATTCTATGAAGATTGCTCTTCTCATTGCATTTATCATAAGTACAATGAACATAAAGGTTATGTTCAAGATAGTTAGAGATCTGATGAAAAGTAATTTGAAGAAGTAGTGTTGGTAAAACAAGGCTTGGATCGTAATTATTACAGGTCTGTACGAATTCAGAGCTATTTTCCCTCTGTAAGACGATTGATGATAGACATTTACCGGTGGTACATTCTTCAGCAACACCCTTATCTGAGTTGAAACATTGTCCTATATAAAATCACATACACTAGACATATCATCACACTATTAAGGATGCTGAAGTCTATCAAAAATTTTTATTTATGTTTTTCAGTTTTAGGTATACAAACAGAAATCTAACGAAATAGATAAGATTTATGTGTAGCTGATTCGATCCGATTCGATTATTATACGACTAACACAAATATCAGGAGCTGCTCATATTTTACCTCATGAAAGTAATTAATATCGGTGTTTTTCCATTTTTCATCAATACGTATAGAAGCGCATGATAATCTATACTGTAAATATAACGGATATCGACCAAAGCTCAATTTATCAGTTATATCATTGATGAGAAGAATGAATATGATCTTAAGTTGAGAAAAATAGAAAAATAGAAATATACAGTGACTGAAATAGACGCTATAAAATGATTCGCAACTCCTAAGTCTGACCACTGAATTGCTTCCACTGTGAAATTCTTTTTTACTTCGAACTCTATACATACGATGATCCTAACAGGTAATGAACTACTCTCGAAAACATAAGTGCTTATAGATTTGTCATTCAAAGTTGTAGACATTTTATGAAAAGTTTAGTTTTAAGGGTGTACGTGTGGGTGTGGGTTAAGAGAAGAAAGTACTCATATCCACCCACACCCTTTTATGAACTGTGACAGATTACTTTACCTCTTTTTACACTACCACTGCCTAAAATGAATGGGCTAATGCTTGTTGTTGCTTCCTTATAGTCGACGTTGAATAGCCATAGAAGACGAGTTTTCAGAAACTCTACCTCACACCCGTCCGTGGCACATGCATAATTGAGATAAGTGTAGAATTTAGGGTTCTTATCACCATCATTAAACACCATTACCGTATCAAGTCGCATTTGCTGATCTTGTAATGTAACATCTGTAATTTGTTTAAAGAATTTTATCTGCAGGAACTGCTGAGTATAATAAATATAGATTTCGATGCGACATAAATCGTACTCAACAGTTTTTAGTTGTTCTATGTTGTACATGTAAAAGTCATAGTTAAATTTGTCGAATGATACTTCTGTCAATTTTATATTATCGTTGCTGATACATAAAAGACCATGGTTCGTCGCACAACTGATCAATAAGATTAACAAAGTTAAAACCTTCATTCGTCCAACTGAATAAAAATCAAATGATTTGCTATAACTTCTCGCAAAAATAAAGCTTGTTAATAATGTAATCGATCATATCATTCTATTTTAATTTTCTAATAAATATAGCAAAGCATATTCTAACACATCTTTCATATCAATCAAAATCAAAAGTAATATTGAAAAAAGGTATTACTGCATCAGTCATTTGCTCTGAGAGATCCACAGGAAATTAAAAAAAATTCAATTCTACTTTTATACACTTTATTCTCTTCTGCTACACTTAGAATAGAAAGTATGTACAATTCATAGCATACACACAGCTTCTCCTGTATCTTTACTCCCTTTAGACCTTTTACTGTGTTTTCAGATTTTGCGATTTTGACAAGTTAAAAGTGTAGAGTTTTACTTATAATAATAAGAGATTAATGTATATTATATCCGAAACAAGTGTACGTTGTGTGACGTATTTTGAAAGTGTGAGCTGGAAGAAGAAGGTGTGAATGTCGTCATTGTATCTCATTTACACTCTCAATCATATTCACATTCACCCACACCCTCAAGAGCATATAAAAGTAGAAGTGGATTTTTTTTTTATTTTTCGTGGATCTATGTCTGTGCAACAAATTAACCACTGTAAGAGTCATACTTTTGCCATTCATCACTCACTGAAAAACAAGATAGTAATGTCATGAATGGAAGTCGATATGTATGTCTTGATAAGGAAAAATACAATCAATTGACAGAAATACGGTGTTTAATGTTTACCGTTATTCTATCATCAAGATGGGCTTTCCGAGAATTTCGGTGGTGCTTACTGGAAAACATGATCTTAGACTTAGATTTTTTTCAACAATAGCAATCGATAGAAATCTACAGCAACCTATGTAGTTCGCCTTGCTAATATTGTCAACAATAATCGAAGATGTCCAATCTTTTTCTGATTAATTTCAAAGCAAATAAAGCGTTTATCAAGAGTGTTTACAGTTTTAGTAGTCGAGCGAATTTCTTTTCGATAGAAAAGTAACAAAAACGTCTGTCTCACGGTGCACTGAGATTCAATCTATCATGCTCTTCTTTCTTTTATATTTATTCTTACTGCCAAAAAATAAAATATTCTACGTCAAGAACTATTGTTGTCAGTTTGCATTCATTTCTTTTTTGTTGTTTTTTGTGTCTCTGTTATTCAAAGAATTTAGTCAAATAATGACTTTTGCCTGAACACATAAAAATATCATGAATAGGATTTTCCCGAAGTGGCACTGAACATACACCTTCATCATCAATCAATAAAAGAAGCCTACCAAAATGAGTCGTGCTCCATACTGTTTATAAATTATTTCTTTGAATAGCTGATTTATTTAAGTAAATAGCATCCAACCAAGTTAGTCAAATTCTTGAAGGTGGGTGAGGGTGAGGATGTAGGTGTAGGTATGGGTGTAGATACAAATGGAGATGAATAAAACACACATCTACACTCTCAAAATACTGGCCTTTTCAATATGAAAATTCCCTAATACTACTGTATGAGTCTCAAAAAGACCTAGGTTGTGGATGTGGGTGTTGGTGTGTATGAGAGCGTCTTTATCCCCTGTATCTAATACTCACACCGACACCCACACCCACATCCACACCCAATCTACTTTAAGAAATCCGTGATTTTACTATGAGTACGATTAATTAAAGCGGCCTTTTCGATCATATCTTTGATATCATAATATGAATTATATTCTGTAAAATTCTCTTCCAAATACTTGCGAACCACCGAAAGATGCATTGGTTCATCAACAATTCAGGCTTCTTCTTCGTCTTCTTTCTCTAAGTCGACCATTCCTTGTTGATTTAATTTCACTGAATCGCAAATTTTGGCATCCCTGAGATTTTCAAAACATTTGGCTTCTTTATCACAATCGATTTTGAAAAATAAAAATTCAACGAAAAATGAGGAACTATATATAGAACTAAGGAGGAAGGAAAAAACCATAGATGATGAACATGAAAGAAAGAAGAACGAAGGAAAGGAAAAATCCTGGGGGAATAACTAACAGGAAAAGAAAAGAGGAAGAACATAAATGCATATTAATAATCATGTAGATAAACAGACTCTTTTATGCGTACTAAAATCGCAAAAAAGTGCCTAAACAAAGCTCTTATAAGTGAATTCGACTGTATATGCATATTAAAGTGCCTATTTAATTTTAATAATGAATGATATTGATTTAGTACCGGTACGCACATATGCAACTATCATATGACTACCTATATAAAAAATTTCATCGAATATTTTAGAATTTAGGGTTTTTATATTTATTGTAACCGATATATTTTCAAAATATATAAAAAAAAATCATGAATATTTATAACGAAAGAAATGAAATTTTTAAAATTTTCTCTTATTTTTGAAATAGAATATCAAAGTTAATTCAAATGTTCATAAAATAAATATGTTGTAGAATCTAGATTAATTTTCTTATAAAAACATTTGCCATATTATCATAAGATTCAGCTAAATCGATATGATCATTAGGAAGAATTTTCTTTCGTATGTTGAGTGATAACTCATAAAATGAAAGTGCTTCATTAGGTCGATTCAGTTTTTCATAAACAAAACCAATTTGATCATATGTAAAAGTTAAATTAAGATGATCACTATGAAATATTTGTTTTTGTATATCAATTGATTGTTGAAGATAAGGTAATGCACTGGAATATTCATTGTTTTTTATACATGATAAAGCAGATCTTTCACAATTTAAATATGATATTGTTTCTTTTAAAAAGACTCCTTTTTTCTGATTTATTTCAGATTGATTATTATTGAAATAATGGGTAGACGTGTGAAGCAGATTGAGTCGTCTTTCATAAATTGATTTTAATTGAAAGAGTAAATTTGTTGTTTTTAGCATTTTATTATCTAAAAACGACAAATAAATCA